TGGTTTTGTTGTTTTTGGGGGGGGGGGGGGGGGGGGGGGGGGATGTACGCGCGGGGTGAGTGGAGTGGAGTGGGGTGGGGTGGGGTTTGCAAGCCACCTCGGTACGTACCGCGTGAAAACGGGGGGGAAGCTTTAAGGCCAGTTGTTGTGGAAAAATTTCCCAGATGGGAATCCGGGGGATCGACAGATATTGCTCACCCACCCCCACAAAGCAGGAGGTCTGCGTACTGGACAACAAGCAGAGCGCACCAAAGCACTTCGTCAGTTCTTCCTCGCCTCACAGACCCCCTGTTTGTTGTCTAACCGATAAAGGTTGTACACTCCACTACTGTGAGCTTCTCGGAGCCAACTTTGGGCAGCTAGAGTGCAGTGTGCGTAGAGTATGCCTTTGATATGAGTGCAAATTCACCATTTCCAATTTGGAATTTCAAGCAATTCCAGCTGGGAATTCATGAGGAATTCCAACCAGGATCGTCCAGCAATTCCAAATTGGAATTCCTATTTTTCACAGCATGATGGACGCACACTACACCCCAGCTCCCCAAACTTGGCTCGAAGAGGCTCACAGCAATGCACTGCGTGGCCTCGAAGGTTTGGATACCAACGGGTCTCTTGTGAGGCGAGTACTGAGTGCCAAAGCCCTGTTGTGTGCTTTTCCAACGAAGTACGCAGAACTCCTGCGGCCTCATGTGGGTTTGGATGTAAAAGGCGTACAATCAGGATGCCAAATCGGAAAATTTCCCATAACGATTGGCCTAAGAGTGGGGCCGGTGGGGTGGGATTCGGGGGACACCGTGGTATCATGCGAGAACAGGGGGGGGGGGGGGGGGGAAAACGGGGGGGGGTTTGGGGGGGAAACTAATGTTTAATGGTGCCCCCCCCGGGGCAAAAAAAAAACAAAAAAAACCCCGGGAAAATTTTTCCCGAAAGGGGAAACGACCCCCCGCCCCCCCCGCAAAACAAAAAGGCCCCAACCAAAAAAGGGCCCCCCGGGGAAAAACGGACCCCCCCCACCAAAAAGGGGCCCCCCCCATACTATTAAACGGACCCCCCCCGTTAAAAAGGGGCCCCCCCCCCCAAAAAAAAACCCCCCCTTGGAAAGGGCTTCCCCCCCCCCCCCCAGAGTTACCGCTCTTGGCTTGGGAAAAACACCCCCAACCCCCCCGGCCCCCCCCCCCGGGGTCCCCCCTGCCTCAACCCCCCCCCCCCCATTATTAAACGGAAAACCCTCCCCCCCCCCCCCCACAAAAAAATTCCAAGCAAACCCTTTCCCCCGGGGGGCCCCAAGGGCCGCCCTCCCTTTTTCTTCCTTCTCCCCCCCCCCCCC